TCAAAGATTAAGCTAAAAACAAAAATGAGGAACTAAAGCTATTCAACATAACCCAAAATACTTTGTCCAAAAAGTAAGATGAATTTTATTTTTTCCTTTTTGAAATCTATTTGTTATTGCAAGCCCGTTTCGTCGCCTCCAAAGTAATCCTTAAATCCAAATAATATTCTTTGCTAATAGTTTATTCCAACGCACAACACCACTGTTGGCGTCTTTTCGATTTTTGAGCGACTTTGTGGCGGTATTTTCTCTTTTGGCTCAACTATTGCACGATATTCGTTCGGGTCGTATGCGCAGATCCCAGAAAGTAGAAATCATGATCTTGCACACATGGTAAAAATCGGAAAAAATGTTTTGTGCATCGTAAAAGACCAAGTGCAGCTGAAACGCTAGTGACGTTTCGTGATGTGCAATTTGACACAGATGTCAATTATGAATATTGATCTTAATTTTTGATCGCGGTATAAAGGCAAAAGAATCTGAGCAGTTACAAACCTCAACAATGATTAAAAATGGAACTAAATTTGACTATTAAGAGGTTGGTCAATACGTCCATATGTGCATGAAATGCTCATGATAACAAAAATTTGAATCAGAAAAGTGATGCTTGGCATATATTTTCTTAACTTCTAGCCTAGAGGTGAAAATTGAAAAAGAGCGGGAGCAGACAATAATTAAGGAAAAATTTAGATTACAGCTTATAGCAGATATTATGATGAAATTTGCCTTGTAAATAGTCATAAAAAAATTATTTCGACTAACCCTTCCCTTCTTCTTTACCTTTTTTTTTGTGATTTTACTAAGAAACATCTTAATGGGAACATGACTTAGTCACTTGTTCTTCTTGTAAAGAGACGAAACTTAATTATATTCGAGATTTATAACATAACTACAGCTAAGCAAGATTTTTCTACTCATCACCGAAAGATGAGGAGGTATAGTCAGTTTGTCAAAACGTTTGCAACGCTCAGTAGTAAGTTTCAGAGACCCCACAAGTTAATATATATATATTCTCCTTTAGATTGAAATTCTGAATCGATTTACGAATGTCCCTCTGTCCCTGTGCCGTAAAAATTATCCGTGTAGACACTGAAGGTGTTTGCTCGTAAATTGCTATGGAAAATGGGCTAACAGTACTACTACAGTACTACGTCAACCGAGGATATCACTGTTTTTCAGGAGGAATAAGGGTTTTTGCTCATTACGCATAAACTATAGCAGATAAAAGTACAAACACTTGACTGTATATTCTACGGGCAATGGTATAGTGTCTTTACAAAAATAGTACAAATCAGTCCCGCCTACTTAATTTTGTAGTGTATCATGATAAATCCATAAATTTTTTTAAAACTTTTATATCGCACAGAAGTAAAGTTCAAAAATTCCATAAGGTATTCAGGTTGTTCATATTCGGACCGAAGCATATCCGTCCATTCACCTGCCCATCTTTTCATATACGCAACAGTGCAGTATCCATAGTAAACATTATCCCGCTCGCGAGATTTCGGTTACAAACTTGCAAAAGTATTTGAAAATTACGTAAACCCTTCAAACAATACATGTTACATATGAAAATAATCAGTATTCTCGTAGAATTTTTTTTCTTGCTCTAACATGATCAATCATTAGGTGGATGTCCCCTATATGCGTAACATGGAAGGGAAAAAAGATAGTAAGTTGGTCGCTGCCAAGTACGTGTTTTTCCAATCGATAAATTTTATGTTATGCCTTTACTGACTAAACATTCACTATACATTCATATACACGATCAAAGCGAGCTCTACCTCACTGAGATTTGAACACGATACTGACTCGGTACTCGTGATTCTTACCTATTTGGCTATCCTTGCGGCAAAATGATAAGAACTAAATCAAAATAATAACTTAGGAGTATTCTTACGTTGCTTACGAGAAGTTGATAGGCAAATGAAATCTATCGATGACAACATTTTGTTCTGAACATAACTGCAATGTTTAAGTTTCAAAATTAACCACAAACGACTTTGAATTTTGTTTTTTCCCGTTTTAAGCATAAAAGGGCTTTTGCCTATAGTTATATAAATGACATACGATGGACGGGGAGAAAGATGTAGTGAGAGAGGCATAGATAGCAATTTGATATAGCAATTGTTACGCCTTCACCGATCGAGCTTGCACTATAGCTGTGGCCGCATGCTAATCGCAATTAAAGTATGATCCATTGACGACTTATTATTTAGACCTCTTATGTATCGTAGTCTATTCGTATATTTAAATACTTTTAACGATTCCTTCAACTGGTCACACTGACCAGCGTTACTTTATAAACGAAAATTGCATTAAAAATTTCAAACTTTAAATCAAATGCTTCAAGATTTTCAAATTATCATATACGTGGAACAGCTTTCAGCTCTCGAACAATAACAAGCAAACATACGAAATGATTTAAATGACGAGGGTAATAAGAAAAAAAAATTTTGAAACTTCTTTCTATAAGCTTTTAGCATCGTAATCTTAATATCAATAAAAGAGCAGATAGACGGACAAACCAATGAGCTCCAATTAGCCTAATTTTACTATATGTGGTGATCAGAATATTAGATTCTTATATTACGCGTTAAAGGATTCAAAAGTAGAACGTGTTGTCGTCTATGCTTAGTACACTTTAGGCATATAATATGGAGCCTTTTTATAGCCTACCTGACTTATATAATATATGAGTCCACATTCAGTTCACTCGGATGTATGCAAGAAATACAAAACATGAGATACATCGATTAGGAATCATTTTCTGAATCGATTTAAATTTGTCCGTCCCTCTTTCCCAAGTATTTTTGTGTTTAAACTTAAGAAAGGCACAATTTTTAGGACAATTTCGGAAAATAAATTTGAGATTTTAAATCGGCGAACTTGAATACTTAACCCATACTTGAACACTTTCGCCCTTTACGGTATGTTCTTATAAGAAATTAAAAATCAACAAAGTACATTTTTTCTCATCTTATGATGACAATTGAAACGGAGCAATGATTTGATTATCTCGATATACGATTATAAATTTGAATCACCTAAGTCCATTTTTCGAACAGTTTCTTGTGTCAGAGTTCTTTTGGAAAACAAGCCGTTATAAGATACTTTATAATGAAAATTGAAGCAAAATGATAATTTGGCGCCTTAATATACTACGGGGTCATCGAAGAAATGGTTTTTTTTTTTTTTTATTAATATTAATTTCATATAAGTGAAAATGACGACTGACCACTTTTCCACAAAAGACTGCTTTTATTTCGCCAATAACACGAACAATCTTGGAAAATAAGGTTATTAAGATTTCCTAGCTTACTATAGTAAGCCAATGATTTAACATAATCTCAAGAGAGTCCAAGGGAGAGTTATATCATGTGATCTTTGTGGCAAGATCATACATAGGCATTTTTGGACATTAAACGAACGGTGAACTTTCGTCCAAACAGTGTATGGCGTGTTGCACTTGAATCTTATTAAAAAAAAAAACACACACACACACACACAAAAACAAATGAGAGCATTATAGTCGGGCAAGGCGAATCATTAAATACCCTACACCAATTCCTCTAGCAAAATTCTTCACTCGTTTCTCACATCTATATAACACACACGTAAGCTTAGCAAAATTGTACAATAAATTTTAACTAAAAGCTTTCCTTCATTTTTCCTCAAGTCTTGAAACTTATCGGTGAAAAAGGGGAAATATTAAGTTAAAACAGTAGCGCGCTCTTTCTACCCTTCATCAATTGTGATACAGGGTGCGGACGTATGTAACACGCAGAATGGCTTAACGCGCGATCACCTTTTATTATACCGATCGATTCAGAATTACAATCTAAATTGATCAAGCGCTGCCTCCCAGTCTGTCTGTCTGTTCGCGCAATTTTTGAGATATTTTGATGACATTTGGCACAGCAGCGTGTTTTGGCCCAAGGACGAACGCTATCGGCAGTCTAAATTAGTACACTTTGGTACAGTTTAGACCAAATGGGGATGAAAATTCACCCATAATATTATCTTTCATATAAAAGTAAGAATTGTGTTCAACAATACGATGCAGGGTATTTAATGGTCGGCCTTACTCAACTTTTTTAAATAATAACCTGCGAAATAAGAATTTATATTATAGTGTGATACGGGTTATCATTAAATACCTTAAATGATATAATCAAACAACAGTTTTTCAGAATAAAGCAGTGTATGGGAAGAAGTCGAAAAAGTGATCCGATCTGAACTATTTCCAATAGCATCCGTGCTTGAATCAAAACACTGTGGTGTATAAAATTTCACGAAAATATTTCAAAAATTCCACTATGTAGGTTGAGCACAAGGCCGACAGAGGGACAGACAAGCTTAAATCGATCCAGAAATGGATCCTGAATATATCGCTATAATAAACGGTTGTTCTATTTTAACCCCTTCTAAGTATTACATCCATCTGCACAAACTTAATATGTGTCGCAAGTGGTGTAGAGTAAGAGAATGAATTGGAATTTGTTAAAAAAAGGAAATTCAATTTTTTTTTTTTTTTTTTTTTGTTTATGTTAATAGGACTCATATTGTTTTGTTAATAGTTAATTTTCGAAAATTGTTCGGAAGAGCAGCATTTCAATTTGTCAACCAAGTTCGAAAAATATTTCCATATAATTTCATGGAACTTTTTCGATTAAGCTGCACCAGAGTCTCGAGTTTGACCATTTTTCCAGAGTCCCTTCTATGCCAATATAATTATGGAAAGCAGAGAGCAGAGGGGCTACTTTGCCTTTGCAATCTTTGGGAAACACACTTTCATTTCTCGGATATCTTCACTCGTAAAATTTTATAACGCGATAAATATTAGTTTGTTTCTAGTGTTCTATGATGAAATTAGTTTATGTATAAAAAAAATTCGTTACCAAGAAAATCAACTTGACTACATTTACATAAGGTCAGATTTTATATTTATACCGTAAAAATATAATTAAGATCTTTTCGATAATCTCTCATGGACTTACCGAAAACTAAAGTAAACGCAGTGAAACGCATCGTTAAAGATTCGTTAATACTTGTACGCGTTACGGAAATCTTTAAGAAATCTTTAAAACGTTTTTTTTTGTTTTTTTGTTTTTGTAAAATTTAAGCACAAGTAATAATACTGGTATATATGTAGATGGGCATGTAAATGCTTTTTATATATATGTATATGTATATATATATACGCATATATAAATATCAACTGACGATTACTCAACACAAAATACCCATAGCGTTGTCGAGCATTTTTTGCTTAAGCGTATGTGATTTTAGTTTTCATCGCGTACATATCTACGTTATATATGTAAGTACATACAGTAGATGTTAGTGTCGTTGTCGACAAAAGTCGTGCTGCGATTCACGACAGAAATGAAAATGAAAGTGAAAGATTTTTTGTTTTTTTCTTTTTTTTTTTTCTCTTTATTTATAATAATTATTAAATTTTTATTATTATATTTTGCACCGTTTCACTGCTACTTGCTTTACTTTTTTTCTTCGTTTTTTTTTTTTTTTTTTTTTTGGAATAAATTTCACTTTAAATAAAATACGTTATTTTTGAAACATAAAAAACTTTATTTTACTTATTTTAAGCCAGAGCAGTGATCACATATTTCGTTGCTTTCGTTACTTTTGTAAAGAAGTAGTTTTCCGTTATGTCTTCCGCAGTTGTGCGCGGCACCTCATTGACTGTTTTATAATAAAAATGTTAATTTTGGTACAACTTATAGTTTATTTTTTTATTTTTTTTTTTCTTTATTCATGTTTATAACATTTATAAGAAATTCACTTCGAGTTATTGTTTCTCCTTATGTTTGGCTTAAGCAAGTCTTTTTTTCTGTTTCTTTTTCCTTGCATGTCCATGTAAGCAATGCAAGGTAGATTAAGTATCGCTTGAGATATGTAACTTTGAATATTAAAAATTGATTATGTCCTATAGCGCTTGTACAAGGATATACAAATACAAGGGTGTATTAAATTTGTACGATTGTGTGCAACCCTCGGAATCACTTGAAATGGACTACCTTGATATTATATCAGAATAGCTTTCTGAATCGCTTTCTGAATACATTTAAACTTGTCTGTCCGCCTGTCCATCTGTGCGTTTTGTTTTCCCTCTTTACATGCCCCTACCTGACGAACGCTATTGAAATTGGTTCAGATTGGAGGACTTTTTCATCCCCATATATCTTACAGCACTTAGGAGCTATAAGAGTATATTCAGTTCGGATGTAAGCAACATCCAGAAATACTTGAGATAGATTCACTTTTTATTATATCACAATCGCGTTCTGAATCACTTACTAAATAGATTTAAACTTGCCTTTCCATCTGTATACCCACCCATCTGACTGTGTTGTTTTACTGTACGCCACCTCATGTGTTCTTATCCTAGCACGAACGTTATTAAAATAAGTTCAGATCGGAGTACATTTCCATTCCCATATATCTTCCAGTACCTGTGATACAAGAGTGGAATCAATTTTTACGAATGTAGACAACATCCAGAAGTACTTGAGGTAGACTTACTTTTTATTATATCGAACGGAATCAATATCACTTTCTGAAATCAACTTCTGAAATCAATTTGAATGAGCAAAGCTTGTCCGTTCACTTTTCTTCCTATCCTATTGTGATGTTTTGCCTCAAAGACAAACGCTATTGAAATTAATTCGGAACGGAGATCGCTTTCCCTACAACACCTTATTTTGAAAAGTGGTTGTATAAATGGGTTAGGGACCGGGCCGTAGCCCACTGCAGTGTATTTACTTGCTTTAATCTTCGAATTAAATTTCATACGTCAAGTTTATGCTTCAAGTGAAAATACATCATGAGATCTTATTTCTGTAGAGTAAAAAATCTCACTATTTAGTACGAGATATTTTTCTTATTTGTAAACTATCAAATTCTTCCATTTTATAATACTTCCTCTTGTTCATAATTCACAATTGTTCCTCTTGCCCATATATTTTACAAATAGACTAAGAGAGAAGTACTATAACTATTACTTTTTACGAGAAAGGCTTCTAAAATAATGTCAAATTTACGAGCCGAACCCAAGCCATGTACAGAGCTAGCTTCGGCTTAATATGCACTTAAGCATCCGAATCGTGACTGTCAAGTCGGCATGTGTTCACGAGTTCAAATCTCAGCACAGTGCCGTAGTTGATTTCAACTAGGCTGCAGTCGGCCGCCACCTATCTCTTCCCTTTCTCTTTCCTCACCCTTTCTCTGCCCACCACGATGTCCTGAATGATTGGTTACATTATTTCTTTTATTAATAAATTGAAAAATTTTAAATGTTTTAAAAATGCTATCAAAAATTTACATTTTCCCTTAGACTGAAAGCAGAATGCGAGGCAAATTGAGGGAGTTCCCACTCATTTGCTTACTACGACGATTAGAGTTAAGCGCAACTGAGCAAAGCACGATATTTGCTAACAAGAGAAAACAAAAATCCACTCCTTCGAGTTTTCTAACGGTGAACGTTCCGCATATGTCGTATATGATACACTTTTCATACCCTACACCAATTGCAAGATGTAGTGCAAGGAATATTAACTTTGTACAGATGCATGCAATATTTAGAAGGACTTGAGATAGACGCAGTTTTTCTATGAGTTAGAATCAATTTCTGAATTGATTTAATCTAATCTGTCCGTCTGTCCCTCTCGTCTACACGGCATAATTTCTGAGATATTCCAACGAAATTTGGTACACTGATGTTTTTTGGCCCAGGAACGAATCAATTCGATGGAATCACTTTATCGACCACAATTATTCCGATAAGTTGTTGTATGAAAACATGTTGTAATTTTCAGAATTTCGCGCCAAAATTCGGTTAATAACAATTTATCGGGTTTCCAAATTGATGTGAAAAATGTTATTGTGATTGTCATATTTTTTGAACTCCCTCTCATATATCACTGCACTTGAAATTTCGGGAAAAGTAAACATAGGTTTGTGCAGCAAACCTACGTTATATCGATCGATTTAAAATCATTTCCTGAATCCTAACTGAAGTCCGATGGATTCATGCCACGCAATTTTTTCAAATGTTCTTGGCATGAAACATATAATAGCGAAACTTAGCAATGTCGGAACAAATTTTTTAACCAAAATCAATACCATAACTATACCTGAGAAGTACTTCGCGGAATGGAAAAAACGCTAACACAAGGGGGATTATTTTGAAATAAATTGTAGTGAATAAATTAATATTTTTCGAGCAAAATAAAAAAGTTACCTCTCTTTTTGAACAGACCTTGTATATCCATATAAAATTAAAGCTGATTCCTTTACCATTCCCCTTAAGTTCTTACCAAATATCACATGTAAAGTATTCAATCGGTGCAACATTAATTACATTAATGTTTATCCTTTACAAAGATCTAATATATGATATATATATCCACCTGAGTGGCCAAGTAGGCAACGGATCTCAACTAGCAGCCTAATAGTCGTGAGTTCCAGTTTCAAGGGCGATAGAGTAATGAATAAAGCCGATAGCCTTAGATGCTAGTGCTTTAAAGCTTAACTCTTACAATTTACTTCTCTGGTTAAAATAATAATAATAATAATAATAATATATGTACATACGGCAATTAGTTAACTGCTTGAGTCTTTGCCTTAAATGTAATCGATGATAAGAAATATATATACATTACTTACTCACGCACGATTACGTAAATCAATACCGGAGCTACTTTTATTGTTTTTTTTTTTTTTTTGAAAAATAAATATCGTGAACAAAGAACACTTTTTACACCTATAGCCCAAAGGTGGGAGGTGAGTTCATTTATGCAATGCCTTCACAACACATAGAGAAGATATTCAGGAATCCTTCCTACAAAGAGTATGAAATCTTGAACAGTATCAAGCTTTGAATCGATCTAAACGATCTGTCCATCCGCCTGTCGGTCCGTCCGCCTAAGCGTCTGTGTACCTATCTGTGACCTATTCCTCTGCACACTTGTGTGCTTATATGTGTTAATCTCACACCCGACCACAGAAAGGACATTTGGAAGCTCTTTCGCATAGCTTGATATTAAAAATGAAACGATCAAAAATACGTCGCATGTTCTACGCGTGATGGCACCTGCGCAAAAGTGAAAAAAATCTTCAGACCCACCTTATATTATAAAGCGTAATGTGCTAATTCCCGATACAATTTTGTTTAAAATGCCTTAAGGCCTACATCACTAGCGGTGCAAGAAGACCTTGATATGGGCCGAGTATACCAATAGATTGGGAAAGTGATTCAAAGTTTGCATATCTGTCTCTCCGTCTTGCTATCTTGTTTTCAGCATACTGGCCGCAATTAAGGAGACACTTTGATGAAATTTTGTACACTGACGCGTTTGTGCCCATGATCATGTTATTGGAAATGGTTTGGATCAGACAACTTTTTCAATCATTTCCCATAAAATACGTTATTTTAAAAAAAATCATTAGATGAATAAACTCTACAATATGGTAGGGTGTTTAGTGGTGGCCCGTAGTTCACTATAGTCTTCTTGCTTACTTTTTTTTTTTGCTTTTTTTTTGGGGGGTTTATTTATGATGAGTCTTGCTCTCTCTCTATCTCTCACAATTCATAATTATGTTGCAAACAATATCAATTTTTTTTTTATTATTGTATTCAGTTGGGAATTTCAACTGCGTTAGTTAGCTTTGTTTCTCTCTCTCTATTCAACGATTACTTTATTTCAACACATAAGACAATAGAAAATCTATTTTGCCTGTCGCTTGGCGGTTATCATAATTGTTAAGACTTGTCGGACCCATAATCTTTGTGTAATTACACCATTCGCCATAACAAAGGTAGCAAGCTGTTATTTGTCATTAAACATTTCATAATCGATTAGAAACCCAAGACCAAGAAATGATTAGGATCTACCCACATATACGAAAGTGAAATCACCTCTTAAAAAAACTAGAAAAATGACTCTTAATTTCTGATCCACAACTTTTGATCTCGTGAAAACATTTCCCGAAAACCGCTGCCAAGATGTACGTCAGGATCGATAAGACTTTAATTCCCATTCCCCATTTCTAAGATATCAAAGTCGCGATCATCTGCTGAGTATTCGCAAGTTCAACATTCAACGCAGTTTGACTCCATACTTTGCCGTACCTATAATTAGTTCTCGTAACACTTATCGATTGAGCACACACACACTAGGGCACGGTAAATCCTTATCCCTTGTTCTTTCTTACCATCACCGTGTTACAGCTATAGGAGACATTCGCTGAATGGTTGGTTATATTAGAAAAAAATAAAAATTTATGATACAAATATGTGTATGTCATCGGGCGTCCCGAAAACTAGAGCAAAGGAAAAATATTATTGATTAAAAATATTTAAAGAGCTTTTTAGGACTTTTGCGGGCCTTATAAGCGTTCATTGGCAACTGAAAACTTT